TTTGGACCAAGAACATGGGTTAACTAGGGTAGATGAGGGTGAACGTGGTAGAACATGGCTAAACAAGGGTAGATGGGGGTAAACGTGTTAGAGCGGGGGTTACCTATGTTAGATGAGGGTGAACGTGATAGAAGATGGCTGAACAAGGGCAGATGGGGGTAAACGTGGGAGAACATGGGTTAACTAGGGTAGAAGGGTAGAAGATGGTGAACGTGATAGAACATGGCTAAACAAGGGTAGATGGGGGTAAACGTGGTAGAACATGGGTTATCTAGAGTAGATGAGGGTGAACGTGGTAGACCAGGGGTTACCTAGGGTAAATGAGGGTGAACGTGGTAGAACATGGGTAAACTAGGGTTGATGGGGGTGAACGTGAGAGAACATGGGTTAACTAGGGTAGATGAGGGTAAACGTGGTAGAACATGGGTTAACAAGGGTAAATGAGGGTTAACGTGATAGAACAGGGGTTACTTAGGGTAGATGAGGGTGAAAGTGGTAGAACATGGGTAAACTAGAGTAGATGGGGGTAAATGTGGGAGAACATGGGTTAACTAGGGTAGATGAGGGTGAACGTGGTAGAGCATGGCTGTACAAGGGTAGATGGGGGTAAACGTGGTAGAACATGGGTTAACTATGGTAGATGAGGGTGAACGTGATAGAACATGGCTAAACAAGGGTAGATGGGGGTAAACGTTGTAGAACATGATTAACTAGGGTAGATGAGGGTTAGTGTGGTAGAACATGGTTGATCAAGGGTATATGGGGGTGAACCTAGTAGAACATGGGTAAATTAGGGTAGATGTTGGTTAAAGAGGGAGAAGAAAGGTAAATGATATAACAAGGTTACATAGGACATATCGTGCTACATACATGAACGTAATAATACTTAGTATTAATGTGTATTAGTTGTTGGGACATGATATGGACCTAACATGAACGCTTTACCCAGGCTTCGCCATACGCAAGTATTCTTGTGTAAAAAAGTGTCATCACTAATATAAACCACAGAAATTGTTCACCCCTTCTTCGGAAAACTAATTTCTGGCGACCCCTAGCGGGGCGGCAGCCTATTCTTTACAATACGGACAAAAAGCCAATTTTTGAAAAATTTTTCGATTTCCACCAATGCCTGTTGAGGTAAATAATTCGACCATAGAGCTACATATGCCTGTGGAGACACAAAATAAGCTTGCAATCATAGATTCAAAATGTGGATCACTCGCTAAAGCTAAATATTCAACAAAATGTGGATCGCTCGTTAGCTAACTATTCAACTGCATACACATATGACTGTTTAGGCTAGAGACAAATTCTGAGTTGATTTCATCCGCGGAGAGCATCCATTCGTCGTGGAGCTCATTGTTTTTCAACCTTTGAATAAAAAGAAAACTCCTTGAGCCCAACATTAATAAGTTGTCATTTGCTCAATGACGTCGAACATCCCTCAAAATGTTTTGGTCTTGCCGAAAGGCTTTTAGCGAATTTTGAAGGACAAAAGCTTGATTGTGATATATAAAGCATAAAATATGGAGAGCGCCAACAAGGGTTCATGAATGTGAATGACACCATTCATCCTTGCCTTTCCTTTTGTTCAGCATTGATGAATACTTTCACAACTTACAAGCAGGCAGTTGCTATTTTTAGAAATGTCACTCTGACTTCTTTAAGTGAATCAAATGATTCATTTCATACTTTTGACCCTTACACTAGAGACGTTGATGATGTGCCAAATTCACAGCAACTTTATCAAAATTTAGGTGATTTAGGTGAACCTGGAATACTGTTTTCTTCTTTAGCAAATGAACTGACATGTGAGTGTTTTGAAATTATCCCTCTGACGCCAGCACCCACGTTCACATTGAGACTACTAGTTAATAATTGACCACCGTAATGAATCTATAATTTAGGTGCTTGCTCGTGATCGGCTAAGCTTGAAGTATTCATAGTACATTGACAAGAAAAGAAATTTTGAAAGTTTGCAAGTAAAATCTACATAGAGGCTCACCTTTTCAGATCAATTCCGAGCAAAGAAGGGAAGCTAGCAAGCAGCAATCTCCCCATGGCTGCATCTGTATGGTTTTTTGTAAATGAGATGTCAACCAACCTCCCACTTGCCTTCAAGGCTTCCATCTTTTCCCAGACGGTGCTTTCGACAAAGGTGGGTCTAAATAAATAAAAGTCCTCATGAAGGCTCGCTTACTGTACTGCACGTCTGTTTGCGATTCCAAGGCTGACATGTTCGTAGCGCGGCGTGGTGAAATTGAAGAGACGCGAATGTAATGCGAACAAAACGTTTAAATGAATGAGCCAATCATCGTATTACAAAATCATCCAATTACATGATTCACAGAATTACAAATTAAGGGCGGTGTTTCTGCATTCGTTTTAGCAAGAAGTTCCAAATCTAGACATGAACATCAGAAGCAATCTTGGTAAATCTTGATCAGCTATTTTTCTGGCCGAAAAAAATAAAAAAAAATTACAACACGAAGAAAAGCTTCACCGCGCGTGTAATATGTAATCCGAAGACTCGTGTTGCTGTTCATAACAGTTCCTAAGGGAGTGTTCGGTGACGGCTAGATGTAAATCGAATTAATCTTTTATTCGCAATCTTTTACTATAAACTTTTGGTATTAACGAATGATTCTGACGACGGGTGATGTGAAAAAGGCAAAGAATCCAGTTTTGAATAGTATCTTTTTTTCTCATTGACATATTCGCTGCAATTAGAGCCACGAAAATTCCAGTCTTTGTGATTGTCTTTTTGAGTTGACGACAAATACATCACCTCATCTGTGAGCCAATCAGTGAAAAGGAATCGTTAAGGACTTCACTTGTCAGATCTAGCAATTGTCCGGCGCGGTGTGTCATAAGTACGAGTCATCGTTTTTGTCTGTGCACGTGTTGTTGCTTTAATAATTTGTTAGAAACTTTACTTGAATAAATGCGCAGCGTTTTTAGTTGACATACTCGAGTATACTTTGAATATAGTTGGGAAATTAAAAAGACAAAAAATGAGAAAAAAAAACATATGGCTTTTGCTGTGTTCTTCGCCAATAGCAAACTATTCAAAATTGCAGCTCCCGAATAAGCGCCGCCGTGTAATAAACGCCCCCTCCCTGTATCAGGCATCGGCGTTTTTTTCTAAAAGTTTATATTTTACACTAACCATCTTAATTTACAAACTGAATGTTAAGTAATAGCAAGGGGATTTTGACACTTTGAAGGTATTGTGAATCAGCTATATCTTTCCATAATGTAAAGTTCCGTTGTTTAAACCGAGTCAGCCCGAGTACGGAAGAGTAATGGACAAATGGATAAAATTACCCAAGAGTATAAGGGAGGTCGAGACCCTCAAGTCGTTGAAAGGAAAGATACGCCAGTTCAGTATAACTGAGTTCTTGGATGATGGCTGCATACGCTGTAGCCTCTGCTCCTCTTGAATTTTATATATTTTTACTCCAAATCCCGCAATTAGTTAACTATCCATTTTCTCTTAGTTATAGCCCCTGGTCTCCTTGTTCTTTTTTTAGTGTCCCCCAAATTAGTAAGGGATTCTTCCTTAGCTAGACGGCTTTAGATACTTTTAAAAAGTTTCACTACCACTACTACTACTACTACTACTGTTGAGGGGTTTTTACCACTCGCTTGGCAAATTAACAAGAGGTACTGAGACTCTGTAATTTTCTTCTTTATTCTCTCCCTTGTTCCACTGCTTATTTCTACTAATTTCAGCAAGGAGTGCTCCAGTATTAAATACAAAAATCACAGACATGTTTGGGTTAGCTAACCGTGGGAACTTCCAAAACAGGATGTTCAGTGTGGGTAAAACTCAAGGTCAGTTTTACCAACTCAAGCATGACCACCTAGCAAACTAGTTATCTTCTACCATAACAAGGGATTAAAATGTCTAGCACGGTAAGTGCTGAGCCAAGTTCAAGCACACACTAAAAATAAATGATCAAAACTATAGATTCATCAAAATAGCACGTAGGGGCGAAAAGGCGAGACTAAATCAAACAAAAGGTAAACCTAAAAATGCTTGAAATATCGAGCCTTGAAAACGCTCTACAACACTACTACTACTACTACTGCTGCTACCACTACTACTTCTACGTAATAGATCGTAATTGCACCAAACATGCACCGAGAAAAATATTTAAGGACGCTGAAAGCGGCTTTCACTTAATTATCAAACGACAAAGATTCTTTGGGAATTGTGCTTATCGAAGTAACAAAAGAAGTCTCTTTTTATATTCATTACTATTCATTGATCAAGATGCATAACGGGATCAATTGCCAGGTATAAAAGAACAGAAGTGTGATATTAATTTATCAAATGAGTTAATCTCTCAGCGAGGAAAATTCTTGGAGAACAAGTATTGAACATGAATTTAAGCGAAATCATCGATTTAGAACGAGGACCGCGATTTATGCTGATCGAGTGGCTACAAAGGCGCTACTTACTTTCCGACCCACTTCACTGTGCTCAGTGCAACAAAGCAATGGAGCTAACACAGAGGAACGACAATCATGTAGATGGATATCTCTGGTGAGTAATGCATTTTCTTTCTGCGTCGATCTGTATTTAGTCATTATCTAACACGGGCAAAGAGTAGGGAGTGGACAACAATACGTGGAATGAAACCTTGCAAGTGCATTTGCTTGCCTCGATCACGCAAGCTTCCCATTTCAACGTCTAAACATAAATCCCTTTACTGCTTAACTACAGAATAATTGAACTCTCCAAAATAATACTAGAAGTAGGTGGTTTGCACGTTACGTCATCGCCGCCATGTTGGTGGACGTAAACAATAGATATCTCATTAGCTTGTTTTGTTCGTCCACCAGCATTTGTTCCTTTCACCAAATCTAGAGATAGCGGCTATGCGCAAACAAAACTCCCACCTCCATAAAACACAAGGGACGCGATAAAGAAACAAATGGTTGCCTCGTTCGAATTCTTAATGTTTATGCTATTGTTGGAAGAATATCAAACATTACGTGCGTGTTTTTCAACCTGGAATAGGGCTCGGTCTTGGAAGCGTCCGTTACATAACTTATCTCTTTCTCCATCTTACTCAACAAACACTTTGGTTCTATCATTACCCGTTTAAGATTTGATTTTCATTGGAAAAATCCACCTGCATAATTTTTCTAGAGTAGGAAGGAAGTTATGAGGTCTGTAAGTCACTCTGACACTTGTTTCTTCGGAACGAAATAAGTCACACACGTCACGTGTTAATTCTACCTCCAAACCCACCTGATACTTTGGGCCAATTCACTTCCTACACGCTCGCCAGCAGATTCTGTTAATCGGTAGCCAAGAGGCAGAATACTAAGTTGTAGAAGGGCAACTTCTCTCCATCTCCAAAGAGCTTCGCCATTCAGCTGGAGTTGAAACACGGGACTGATTTCATCGACAAACGGAGGAACGTGTATTGATCAGCAGGGGATGATCGGGGTTTTTCAATGCAATCGTAAGAATCTGGAACTCTCTATCTATCATAATTAACCTGGAAAGCTTTTTTCATTAAAATGCCTTCAAGAATGTTTTTAATAAAACAGTATGAAACAAAATTTCCAACTAATGGTATTTGTTACTCTGGATTGGCGTGTACTTAGAATGTCTAAATATTTTCACGCGATATATAGATTTATTCTGTGCTTTTTCGATATAATATGTTGCCAGTGTGTGGATTTTAGCATTTATAAGAATATATATATTTTTTCTTCTGCGCAATTTCGAATTTCAAGTTTTATTCTTGCCTAGGCGTGTGCTTATAGCATGGGCCTAAGTGTCCCGTTCCCATCCTGCCGCATTGGATATAGACATTTTTTTTTTTGTCTTCATTTGTATATATCCTCTCTTATAACCCACCCATTAATTTTGGCTCGATTTTTATCGGTTACTTTACGTCACGTGATGCAAAGTCATAGGACATTTATTACCCAATAACCCCTGTCCGAGTCGATATTTGTCCTCCTATTTTTTCCGTGAAAAAGAGACATAGTCATCACAAGAGTTTCAACTTTTCAGTTCTCCTATTTAGATGGAAGGTAACCAAACTCGTTTTTTTGAGTCTAGCGATAGTGACATTAAGGAGCTGGTCGCAAAAGTCAAGTTTTTGAACAGCACGTCGGAAATTGTGAACCAAAAGCGGCAAGTTTTCGAGTTTTTGATCTAAGGGGCGATATGGGAGTTAATTTCGAATGACAGCTTGTCAAGTTTTGGTCCAATCACACTGAAAATAAAGTTAATGAAACCAATCAAATGTACTTGCTTGCTTGCGTCAATCACGCGCATTCGCCATCAGATAACCACTGGCTATCAGTTTTGACTGTGTCTACGCGCAATTTAATTGCGATGTGAAAATTGATGGGAGGGCTATAAAATAAATAAACCCCGTTCTGGCTTGCTGGTATGTCGGCTGATAATGTCCTTGGCTGAGAGATTGTCCTCAAATTTTCATATTTGCCCTCGAAGCTTCGCTTGTCGGAAAAATATTCATCTTTCGGAAAATCTCTCAGCTGACATACCAGCCGCCCGAAGGCTTTATTTACTAAATAAACTGGTGCTCATTAACCTTGATTCCTACATAAATTATCATTAAAAAAGATTAAATTCATCTACTTTAAAAGACTAGTAAATATATTTTGAAACTTCCAGCGCCGTTTGATTAACAGACTAAATTTGAACTTTAACAATAATGTCATTAGAACAGCAACTTTTCTCAGTGTTTCTAACCTGTAGCCCCAGGACTATGATTGAGTGAGTAGATATGGGTAGATAAGTTTATTTCTCACATTTTCACCGAAAATCTGAATTACAATGTGGTTACAATTATTTAACAAATATATAAAATTACATGCGTGGATAGGGACTGGGCTACAATGGGTTTAGAAATACAAGTTAATTAATTAAATAATTAAGAATTAACATTTAACTATGTGGGTATGCAAATATATATAAAAGGAAACTCTTATTTGTTGAAGGCTAAAATAGTCCTTGTGAAAAAGCTGCGGCGCAGTCTTTCGGTCCTGCATTTAGTCACTGAAAAATTGCTAGCGTTCCTCAATTGATACTGATGCACTTGCTTTCTTTCTTTCGGGAGANGTGACAGTAGCTTCAATGTGATTGTTCCATTTTAAGTTATTCTGAATCACCAGGCCAAGTACTTTGTGTGAAGTTACAAGCTCTAATTGTTGGTCGCCGATCTTCAAATGAGGGAGTTCTGTGGGTTCCTTGAGAAAGCATATCCGCATTTCTTTACACTTTTTAGCGTTGAGTTTCATCCAGTTACTGGAGCTCCAAGAGGCCACAGTATCGAGACTTGTTTGGATGGTTGAGGTGCTGTTCCTTACGAGCCCCTCAGACAACGATACATCATCTACAAACTTCCAAGTGCAGGATTTAGGATCAGAGATGTTCAAGTTATTTATCATCACCAGGAAAAACATTGGACCGAGTTTTGTTCCCTGGGGGACGCCGGCTGTTGTTAGAAGCCAGTCAGAGACGGAGCCAGGTAACTTAACGCGTTATCGACGGTTAGTCAGGAAGCTTATTATCCACAATATTAAAAATATGCGAACTCCTAAGCCCAGAAGCTTCTCTATCACTACGTTGTACCCGATACGATCGAAAGCCTTAGAGAAATCTAGAGAGCAAAGGCGGAGGTGTCGCCCGGGTGAGTCGAGGTACGTAAGCCAGGTGTGAATCATGTCCAGTAAACAATACGTTGTTGAAGTTCCCTTCAGGCACCCAAACTGATTTGGGTCGATTTTATCCTTGACATCGTCAATTAACCATGTAACTACGAAGTCCTCAAGGACTTTGGACAGACAGGGAGTCAACGAAATAGGTCTGGTGTCGCCTTCATCCATACGTGGATGTAAATATATTGATAGAAGAGAAATTGTTTTCCCGTGTCAGTTTGGGACAGATTAAACATTTCGTGAAATAGAAGAAATATAATGCCAAAAACAAATTGGACGGTTTTTGCTTTCAAGGAAGTTTACTGTGCGAGGTATTGTTAGTCTAGAATTGTAAGGCATTTTGCGCTGGCTTACAGCGGATTACCTTTAACGAGATACGATAGAAGCATGGATAATATAGCAAAGGTCAGGAAAATTACTTAAACAACCGTCCTCTTGAAGTGATTACAGGGATTAGTAACAAAGAGGAGCTGAAGGATGCAAAAGGGAACAAGATCGGTTACCATAGGGAACACATGATCCCCTTTGTAACCCGTGTAGCTGCAAAAAGCAACATGTTACTAAAGGGAATGTCACAAACAGGAAAATTTAGTTACCATAAGCTTGGAAAACATGTTCCCTTTTGCGGTGTTATACGTGTATCAATTTCATAACATTACTGTGTATAAAGTGAGTTTCCCTTTCTTATTCATCCATCGATACATCCGCCTATAAACAGTTGTGCGTTTGAAACGGGCCTTGCATATGTTTTTTTATTACTGTGAGTCTCATAACCACCTCATGTCATACTTTCCAAGTAAATATCCCCCTTAATCCTCCAACAGGAGATGCAGCGGATGCTCCAAAAGAAGAAGTCTTAGGACCAATACCATATTTGAGGAATTCCCAAAGGTGCCGTTAGCAACCCTTCTCAAGACTATCTACTACTTCACTCACGATGACCCTCAGCACAGAATGGTGAGAGCTCTGGGCATTAATGCCAGTTTGACTTCAAAGATTTGTAGACGACTGCAAGACATCTGTTCTGTGGATCTACAAAACAGACCATTTATTCCTTTTGGGGGTCCTGGTACTGTGGCTAAGTGCGATGCGAGCAAGTTCAACCACAAGCCGAAGGTAAAAGTGGTGAAGATTAAGCGAATAAACAAAAACTAACGAGAAAAAGCAGGAAAAAACAAGAACAAAACGAAACAAAACACAGGCATAAAATAAATCTAGTCAAATGGTACAAAATCAAACTGGTGCTGATGAACCGTCTAAAAAAGTTAGTTGACTAATAAGTTAAAATCTGCATTTATTTTATCTTTTAATACAACAGGGTAAGGGGGGCTACCCGTCAATCGTGGGTTTTTGGATTCGTGTCTTCAGAATATTCTCCAGCAAGAGGCTTTTTCCAGGTTATAGAAAGAAGAAATGCAGCCACACTGTTACCAATTATACAGAAATGTCTTCTGCAGGGAACTGAAGTGCACACTGACGATTGGGCAGCGCACAATCGACTGATTGGGCTGCCCAACATTAATGCACATGAAGTCGTTGTCCATGCCCACAACTTCGTGGATCCTCGCACTGGCGTGCACACGCAAGAAGTGGAGTCAGCATGGAGCCAACTGAGGCTGGGCTGCAATAGAAGAAAAGGATTGAAAAGAGAAGATCTGCAATCCTACCTGGATGAGAGGATGTGGCGGCGGTGGAGGGGTGGCAGTTATGACGTCATAACGAGGAATTTTTTTTTCCATTTTGCCTCTGCAGTTTCCGACTGACACTCCAGTTCTGTAATTTTTTTAAAATGAAAAAGTAAAACAATTTCTTTGAATAGTCAAACCGTTATAACATCCAGTTTCTCTTTCTTTAAGCCCTAATAAAAAGCAGCCCTTAAGTGTGTAAAATCTTCGATTGAAAGAAAATTGCAAGCTGTCACATTTATTTTTTTTATTATAAAAGTTGCAAGTGTATAAGGTCAATCAGTTTCAAAAGCGTAAAAATTCCATTCAAACATGAATATTTGAACTCGTTGACAAAAAAGAGAATTAAGTTTTATTCTTATGACCAATAATTTCAAATATACCAAAGACAACTTTGAGAGATAGCCAATTTCAAGACGGTAGGCTTATTATAGTGTTTAAATTTAATATGGATATATCAACAAAGTTGAAATGGTAAATTGGCCACCGTAACGATTACAAAAGCTGACGTTTCGAGTGTTAGCCATTCGTTGGAGCGAATAGAGGAATTGTTGGTTGTTTGTGCTTTTAAAGGCAGAAAATGGAGCTACGTTATTGGTGGGGAAATGGCAACGAGAAAAAAAAAGAATAAATTAGTGGTATGAAAAGCGTTCGTTTGATTATTATGGTGATTACATTTAAGATGCGTATATATATTTCTACTAGGCTTTTGCTAAGTAACTCATGAGAAAATGTACATATTCGATGTTACTGTTTTGTATATTATGTGTCCAAGGGCATTCAGTCAATTAGGCCACGTGTACGACTAACTTCATTTATTTAAAACTTACAATTCCAGTTAATTAAATAAAGATAAGGTCTTATGAAAATTTCTATTGGGTGTCCGTGTTTTGTATGCCATGTATGAAAAGGCCTTTCCCTTTCGCTTAAAACACGAAAAATTGCTTATATTGTTTGAATTATGACTTGATTGAATTAAAGTAAAGTCAACGTAAACATGTCTTTCCTTTCTACATTAACTCACTTGCCATAATCCTAAAAAATGCATATGATCATGAGATGGAAGGTTGGGCAGGGTTGATTAAAATGAATCTAACATTTTAGATTCGGTGTGGGATAAAAAATGTGGGACAAGAAAGGTATAAAATAGGTATGCAACAATATGGCTGGGAAATTCGCCGCTGAGGGAAAGAATGAAAATCGCCGCTGACGATATGCGAAGAATTCGAGGGTTAAATGCTAATTTTTTGGACCAAATTGTTAATGCGAAATGACAACAACAATATCGTGATTGGAGAAAGGTAAAAAGACAAATACCAAGCAGTGAAACAAGGGGAAATATTTTGAAAGGTTTTTTTTTTCTTGCAATAGTTCATTTAATTTATTTCTTTAGTTGTAAAAGACAAAAAGAGAGGAGAATCGATATCGAGCTCAATATTGGCTGATTGCCCTCCGTGGTCGAGTAGAATCGAGTACGAATTCAATGGAACTCAATTTCAATCGAACTCAATATTCCAAATGTCTTCCGAGGTCGAGTAGAATCGAGTACGATTTCAATCGAACTCAATTTTAATCGAGCTCAATATTGGCCGATTGACTTCCGACTTTGAAATTACTCATCCCGCCATCGGTTGCGAGTTTATCAAACGCCATTGGTGTTTCTTAGGCAGATTGCAGTTTCGAATCTTTTTCAATAACGTCAATTGCCTACTAAGAACAAATTCGTCACAGAGGAACGACAGGAGTCGCGTAGGCCCATCAAACGTTTTAACTTTTGAAGGAATGGCAACAGACTGTGAATTCCCGTTACAATCCACGTAATATTCACGTCGTATCTCGCTGCCGCCGAAGGTGTTCGCTCCGACCCGTCAAGATGCAAATGACTCAAGTATGATTTTGCGCAATTATAGTGCGCACAATAATGTGAATAAAACCTTTTGGCTGATCGATTTTGTTATTTCGTGCACAACATGGATCTCCATTATTTTAGTAATTTAAAGAGAGCGAATCCTTTAAGGATAATTCGATGGCTTCAAAACCGTGGATTACTGGCCAATCCATTGCACTGCGGCGAGTGCAACCAAGACATGATAATGATTCAACGATCCGATGCCCACGTGGACGGATTTCGATGGTAGGGAAGAGTATTTGTAACCTAGATTTTGCATGAAAGTAATTATGGATCAAGTTTTGAGGCCTCAGATATTTAGTCTTCGTTTTGTAGTATTCCGATTAAAGATTTATTTTGTCGAAGTCGATGGAAACTTTGACGCGAAGGTAAGTTATCCTATTAAGACTAAGAAGCTCAGCAATATGACCATAATCATGGTAAGTTAAAATCAATCTCATTTAATATCCAACTTGATCTGTTTGTATAAGGAAAACAAAAGAGAAAATAAGTAGCAAAAAACTGTACGAAAACCAAAACTGCGTCAACATAAGCGCTTTAGTGAACTTCTGCTCGTAGTTTATTCTTCTTGAACGACAGGACCAGGTGGGCCACGGCTGACGCCCTATCTGCACTTGATAAAATGGTAATCAATTGTAACTCAAAAGGATGTATGATTCCCTTGTCATCATTTATTCTCTTTTTCGTTTTCCCCTTTTTTTGTTGTAACAGATATGAGGATATCTAGATATTCACGACTACCGAAAATTTTTTAAAACGGTAGTCTCACCTGGTCTCAATCTTTTTTTCAGGAGATGCTTTACTTGCAAAATGAAACGAAGCATTAGGAAAAATTCTTTCTTTGCCAAATTTCCGAAGCAATCTCTAGGGCAGCTCATTATGCTGATATACTTCTGGTCGGTGGACCTAAGCCGTAAGAAGACGACGCGGATGTTGGCCATCTCCAACAACCTGGTTTGCAAAGTATTTCGTGCCTTGGAGGATATTTGTTCCGTGGAATTAGCGACAAATCCATTCCTCCCGTTTCCAGCCGGAGGAGCAGCCGTTGTGAAATGGGACGAGAGTAAATTTAACCATAAAGCAAAGGTAAATTCAAAACTTGCTAAGTTTTAAGTAGCAGCATTTAATCGAACAAATTCCACCCGAGCTGATGTATTCGTATTAAAAAAAACCATACAAATTTTACTCAAAGTACACGATTAGCAACAAGATTTAAAAAAACTTAGTATACGGCTTAAAAGTGTTTACACCAAAGTTGATGGTGTAAAATATTTAAGGGTGAATCACTGTTTCCTGTCAAGTTACTCTACAAATATACTGTGCTGGAAAAGCTTTGTTAGAACATTTCCCGACGTCTGAAGCAGTTACATAAAAAAAGTAATGAACGATATCTTCTATTTTAGTACAACAGAGGAAGACGAGCCCCTGACGTCTGGGTGTTTGGTGTCATATACACCGCCACAAGTCCAGCCAAAGGCTTCTATCAGGTAGTCAGGCGTGGGGATCGGGCCACTCTTTTGCCAATTTTGGCTAAGTGCCTGCAATCTTAGCTTGTGATACATTAAATTATCCCTTTTAAAGCCTATACCTTTACTTAAATTGGCAGAGAACTTTAAATTCCATGTGTGCGAAGTTCTCTTCACTTGTAAATGTATTATTTTATAATTTAAAGAGTATCTTTTATGTTCCTTATAATACAAATAAGATTATAATTGACCCAAAACCGCAAATTTGCTATACAGCTACAAGAAATCGATTGAAAGTGTGGAGTGAAAGCAACACGATTATGTTTTTCTTATAGCCACATTCTCCAAACCCGGAAAGTCTACACCTTTAAGATTTTGAAGGGACAACCCTTCAAGATTTCACATGGAGCAGCTTATTAAAGAAATGGCAAACAAAAAAAATAAAAACTCCTGACTTGCCTGATGCCATGACCACTGCAACTGTGCCTGTTGCATAAGAAGATGAATTCAACTGCCTCCAGTGTGTGTGATACATGGTTAAATGATGAATACCCAATGCTGAGAGCTGAATCTTGTCCAAAAACTGAAACTCATGACCATCATCCGAGGTGTTGAAAACTCCAATCGTAAGATGAATTTCATTATACTGACCAAAGGCAATTTCCAAAAATTACGACTTGAGCTCAAAGTTGTTACAGAACGAAAGCAATGCCATTTTTATTTAATTTTTTTCAGTGAAGCAAAATCAAAATATTTAAACAAAATCGGCTTCAAAAATTGCGCCATGTGAAATTTCCGTATTTCTCTTTTATCTTAAAAAAAATAGGATAACTTGATTAAGCAAACTGAATCATCTTCAATGTGAAATACTTCGATGGAAATATACCATAGCACGCGTGTTGTGTAGTCCATGGGCCAAAGTAGGTTCTCATTACCACTCAGGGGGGCGAAAATGAGAGTGTTACCTAAAGAAGTATCTTTAACATACTATATTATTTCAAAAATATTTTCGGCTAAAAGCCACAATTTTACGATTTTATTTGAGAGAAAACTAAATCAAAACATAATGAAACTCGAAAGGCATCATGAATAATTTCCAAGATGGCGGCATCGCTGCCTGGTAGGTGCGTTGAAGTTCTTGTGCAACCTCCACGCTTTAAGGGGCACTATGCCCAAAATCTAGAGCGATTAGGCTTCTAAAAGTCAAAGCTTATTAAAAAAGAGAAAAAAATAAAGACTAGGTATTATTTTCTGTGAATTAGCTTACATACTTATAAACATTCGAAAGCAGGTTATCGAATATGGAGGTTCTAGTGCAGTCCCTCAAGGTAAAGAAAAAGCTCAACTTAAAGAGCATCGTCGTCGTCTTTGACTTAACACTGTATGCAAAGGCAAGCGAGGAATAATGGAAACAAAGCGCAAAATTGAAAGGTATGGTTATGAAAATGGAAGTATTCCATACAGCATGCATCATGTTGTCAATCACTGGCAAGCGATTCCAGGATGCTGGCTTGCAGGAACTGTGTGTAGAGTGTGATGTGATAGCAGGAGGTTCTATTGCAGAAGTTCTAAAGGGACTTACTCGTGTATGAAGCCCTTATGAGACTGGCGTGGCAAGGATTCAGGACCTGTATAATGAGAGAATTATAAGCAGTCTTAGAGTAGCGTTGAAAACTTATATGGTGAGATTGACGATTTTTATGATGATATCTGCA